CTTATACCTGTAATCCCAGCACTTTGGGAGACTGAGTCAGGAGGATTGCTTGAGGCCAGGAGTTTAAGACCACCCTTGCCAACATAAGGAGAACCCTGTCTCTTAAAAAATAAAAAATAAAACCAAAAATAAAAGTAAAATCACCTAATATAACTATCCTTATTTTACCAGGACCATATTTTAAAAATTCAGGATATCTTGTAAGACTTTTTTGGTTCCAAGCTCATATAAGTTATGCTTGTGCCTTTTTTTCCTTTCAACTAAGGTGCATATAAGATTTAAAGTTTGTGATTTCTATTTTCACAATAGCCTTTGGAGCCTTGTGACCAAATGAGGTTGTCTAGGGAGAAGGCCTAGAGTGAGCAGAGAAGAGGATCTTGAGGGATGCCAGCACTTAAGGGCTGGCAAGAGAAAGAGCCTGCCAGGGAGACTGAGAAAGACCAGTGAGAGAGGTAGTAGCAAGTCCTGAGTGTGTGCTGCCCTAGAAGGCAGGGGTGGATGGTGGTTTCTAAAGACGGCCAAGTTCAAGGGTGAAATGCTGGCAAGAAGTCAAACAAGATAATGACAAAAAATGTGCATTGGCTTTATCAACACTGGTGACATGAGTGAGATCAGTTTCAGTGGCATAGTGCGGGGGAAGCCAGATTCCAGGGCTGTGGATTTCTCCCTTGAGTTCTAACTCATATTCACAACTACTTACTTAAAGATCAAGTAGGCATCTCAAACTTACCACCCCAAAACCAAACTCTTCATTCTCCTCCCACCATCCAAACCTAATTCTTCCTCATCGTAATGAATGGACCCTCTGATGCCCCAGTTGCTCAGTCCAAAAAGCCTAGATGTCACTCTCTTATACCCTACATCTAAGCCATCAGCAAATCCTGTTGGCCCTACTTTCAGAATATAGACAGAGACAGGCAACTCCCCACTCCCTCCAAGGCTTCAGGTCCAATCCACCGTCTTCTCCCTCGACTTTGTCAGCTGTCTCCCTGCTTCTGCTCTTTCCTCTGTATACTCTCTTCACTATCCTAGAACCAGATAATCTTTTAAAAATAGAACTAAGATGATTTTACATTTTGTTTGGAACTTTCCAAAGGTTTCTCCTCTCAGAGTAACAGACAAAGTCCTTCCATACCTGACAGTTCTTCCCGATCACGCCAGGCACGCTCCCACTTTTGTTTTTAGCTCCTGTTGTTCTCCTTGCCTAGAAGCTACTTTCTCAAGCCATTTACACAACTTTCTCCTTCTCTTCATGTGAGTTCCTATTTTGAGAGACCTTCTCTAACTATCTGTCATGTTTTTAAAACATGTCTGCAAATTTCTTGACACTCTTTTCACCAAGAGTTAAGAGTCCAGTTCCTCTCCTCTTGAAACTGACCAAAGTGACTCACTTCTAACAAACTAAATGTGAAGGCAGTGGTGCTGGGTCATAAGAGGTGATATGTGGGATGCTTGCTCTTGGAACAGAGTTGCAATGCTGGGAAGAAGCCTCTGCCACATTGACAGACTGCACAGAGGTATTCCAGCAATAGTCCTCACTGTGGTCACAGTGGACACCTAGCACCGACCATCAGTCAGGTGAGAAGGAACCCTCCAGATGACTCCAGCTCCAGCCCTTGTTTGACTGGAACCATGTGAGAAATCCTACAGGGAAACCGCTAAGCTCAGCCTGGTCACCCCCAGAAATGTGAACGAAAATAAATGCATGCTATTGTTTTTAGCCACTAAGTATGAGTGGTTTAATTACATAGCAATCGATAATTGGAACACAGCACTTCTACAGTAGCACTCTCAATCAGTCTCTATTTTTTTACCCAGATTTATTTTTCTTTGTAGCCCTTACCATTATTTGACATATTATATATTTGTTTTTGTTTCCTGTTCTACCACATGCCCTGGAATTTCAGCTGTGGGAAAGTAGAAGCTTTGCTTGTTTTGCTGATATTTCCTCCACTACCTAGAATGGTGCTTGGTATAGACGAGTCACTCAAGCTCAGATAGTTTTGTTAAATGGATGTACCTGTGGTCTGTGGTGTGAAGAAGGCATCCAAGTTGAACAGAGACAGTATGGGCATGAAAGTATTGTGGAACTTGGAAAGGACCACGTAGGAGATATTATTCTCATTATTCTTGAGGATACTTCTACTTCCCCATTAGGGTTCGTAATAATGATTTTTTTTTTTTTTTTTTTTTTTTTTTGAGACGGGGTCTCGCTCTGTCGCCCAGGCTGGAGTGCAGTGGCCGGATCTCAGCTCACTGCAAGCTCCGCCTCCCGGGTTCCCGCCATTCTCCTGCCTCAGCCTCCCGAGTAGCTGGGACTACAGGTGCCCGCCACTTTGCCCGGCTCATTTTTTGTGTTTTTAGTAGAGATGGGGGTTTCACCGTGTTAGCCAGGATGGCCTCGATCTCCTGACCTCGTGATCTGCCCGTCTCGGCCTCTCAAAGTGCTGGGATTACAGGCTTGATTGAGCCACCGTGTCCGGCCTAATAATGATTTTTTAATGGAGGTAATGAAGTTATTTTCTCTTTTTTTTCAAAACAGTTTATTTTTGAAGTAGAAATACAAATTCTGATGTTTATAGGGTCGAGTTTACACTTCCAGGTCTGTGACAGTGACTAAGCTTCTGAACCTTTTATAGTCGTATTATGTGGAGGATGAGAAAGGGAATGTTCATACCCCTGAGCAAGCAGCCTGCAGGCCAAGACCAATGCCCATCTAGAAAGGCGTTTGACATGAGAGAAGGATCACTTTACCCTATGTACTCTGTTGGACTTTAGAAGACTGTGAGCCAGAAAGTCTCCTTACAAACCAGCATAGAGCAAGGTTAGGTAAAGGTCTTTCATATTTACCCATTGCTGCCCCTCTTTGTTTGTTTTTTTTCTTGTTCACTTTTTTTTTTCCATTGGGCCAAATCATTATATTCTTCACCATTACAGCAAATGCATATTGAACATTTCTTTATGTTGATGTCAACTCTTCATATCATTTTCACAGGCTTGAGGTGAAATTCTGTTGAGTTTTTTGTGGTGTTTTGGCCAGAGATCCAGGAAAAGCTGACTCTTGCCCTGCCAATCATCCCAAGCTGGATGACTCAAGGAACGACAGCAGATGGGGCTGTCAGTCCCACTGTACTAGTCTCGGAGTTGCACCCAGTAACACGCATCATAGAGGTCACTGGGGAAGGGAGTTGCGAGATGGTGTAGGCCTGCCTTGCTCCCCACTCTCAGCCCCATATCTGAGTTGAAGACTGTGGGTTCAGGCACACTGCGCAGGAGGGAGATTGGCAACCCGATACCAAATGGGGACCCTGAGAGGCTGCATGAGCAGAAGACTGTTCAGGGCCAGGCGAGAAGGAAGGGAGCTTCATCTCAGACGCTGACCCTGTGAGGCACACCACCCTTCATAAAATAGGGGCCAGTGAGATCCTGGGGCTCTGACCAAGCACACACTTAATTCTTTTTCTTTGGATGGGATCAGGAAAGACAAAGGGAGACAAACGGAATGGGTTAAGGCAAAGTCTCTGCGAGAAGGTCATCAGTGTTCTTTCTTCAGTGTTTGCTGTCATCGTCCTTGTCATCATTGTCACCGTCACCATCATTAGCTATAGCAGCACCCTTGTACTGAGTCATTGTTTTACACCAGGCACTGTGATAGATTCTTCTGCAGATGGGGTTATTTGGATAAACAGAAGCTTTTATACAACTTAAGAACAAACAGTCCTGTTTGGGGTAGCATTTGGGGTGCACATGACTGATACCAAGCAGAGCATGAAAAGGGCTGTCACAGAATTTGCATTCTGGCAGCTCTGGAGGGGAAAGAAGACCCTCTCCTGGCCTGGGACACTGGAGGCTTCATGAAGAAGATGATATTTGATCTGAGCCTTGAAGGACAAGTGGAAGTTTATAGATAGAAGTGGGCAGGATGACAGGGACTGTCATCTGGGCAGCATGACAGGGACTAAAAGCATGGTGTGTTTGGTAGAGTGGTGAATATCAGACTGACTGGTGCAGAGTCAGTGGCTAGAAATGAGAGGGACTTGGACTAGAAGGCAGTTGTTGTGACCCTCTGAGTAATTCTGTTTCCTCCTCCACACCCTTTGCAGCCTGAGTATTACCGTAATTGATAGAAAACTGCGTCTAACTCCTCCCGCCATGGACTCATTTTTATGAGGCCTTTCTTTATTCGTTTCCTTTCCCAAGTCAATGAGTGGAGAAGCCCATTCCTAAGGATTATGATGGCCGATATCCTGCATGTTCTTCACTCACAGAGAAGCAATGCCAGATCTGGTCTCCTTTCTTTCCTTTCCAAGTGCATAACAGACCTTTGTTTTTTTGAAAAAAGAGAACACATAGTGGGACAGGTTGGGGTTAGCTCTGGAGGCCAGGAGGGTCAGACATGAGACCTTCTCTGCAGATACTCCTGATTCAAGTGCCTGGAGCCATGGAAGCCCACCTAGCAGGAGCCAAGGCTGGGAGTGGGATGGCTTTGAGGAGGACGATCAAGCCTGGCCTCAGAGCTAGGTTCACTTCAAAATGTGGGGATGGTGGTGAGGAGGGGGCTGTAGCCGAGAGGATATCTACAGGGAGCTTGGAATTTGGGCTGCATGAGGGTTGAGGATTGGAGGAACTGGGGCTTGTGCAGTGGCTCTCAGAGGGTTCCCCTCAGCACAGGCCATCGGCACAGGCCGCTGACTCCTAGTTCATTGTTTTCACATGCAATGTGTGACCTTTCCAACCCTCTCCAGGAGATCTGCAGGTGAATTTGCATCTGTTGATGTGGTTCTGTGTTTTTGGGTTAGAGTTGATTCCCTTCTTGGTATCCTGGGAGTATCCTGTGCAGGGGCCACGAAGTGCCAGGCTTGCATATTACCTATTAGAGCAGTGAGGGGCATTCCCCAGCCATGCTGACAAGCTGGGACAACCAGGCCGTGCTCCTCCTGCCCTGTTTGTGGAGCCTGTCCCTGGGGTTCACACAAGCCCTGAGGGGGAACTCTGCTGTGTCACAGCCTGTGGGACAAAGCCTTCGGGCTGAACAGTTTCCCTAGAGCACCCTGCGTGTCCTTGTTCCTCAGGCAGTAGATGAAGGGATTCAGCATGGGGGTCACCACCGTGTACATCACTGAGGCTAGTGAGTCCTTGTCTGTGGAATGGGAGGATGAGGGCCTCAGGTGGACCCCTGAGATGGTGTCATAGAAGAGGATGACCATGGTCAGGTGGGAGCCACAGGTAGAAGAGGCCTTCTGCTTGTCCCGGGTGTAGTGGACCCTCAGCACCGTGACTGCAATGCATGTGTAGGAGCCTAGAATGCCAAGGAAGGGCAGGAGGACAATCAGGCCCCCCACCAGCATGATCATGAACTGGTCGAGTCGGGTGTCGGAACAGGAGAGCTGGAGCAGGAGAATGAGGTCACAGAAGCAGTAGGGGATGATATTGCTGGCGCAGAAGTCCAGCTGGGCCATGAGAAGGGTGTGCAGCAGGGCATGGAGGCTGGCGATGGCCCATGAGCTGCCCAGCATCAGGGCGCAGCCGCGCAGGCTCATCTTGGAGGAGTAGTGCAGCGGGTGGCAGATGGCCAGGTAGCGATCATAGGCCATTGCTGTCAGAAGGAAGTTGTCCATGTTGGCGAGCCGGATGCAGATGTAGATCTGGCCCAGGCAGGTGCCATAGGAGATGACCTGAGTCTGCGTCTGGATGTTCTCGAGCATCGTGGGGATCGTGGCAGAGACGAAGCAGAAATCCACTAGGGAGAGCTGGCTGACGAAGAAGTACATGGGGGTGTGGAGATGGGAGGCTGAGCCAATGGCCAGGATGATGAGCAGGTTTCCTGCCTTGCCAACCAGGTACATGGCCAGGAAGAACCCGAAGATCAGCTCCTCCTGCTCTGGCCGGCTGGAGATCCCCAGGAGGAGGCACTCCGAGGCACTGGTGTGGTTTCTGTGCTCCATGGATGACAGATCCTGTGGGGAGAGCCAGACCAGTCGCAGACCAGTGAGAGATGAATTCCTGGGCCTCCTGCAGTCCCTCAGCTTTCATTTGGACACATCTCTGTGTTCATCTGGTACAAACCCCAAAGCAGGCTGTCAGCCTATCAAAGGAAAAGCCTCAGCCAGGGAGCCCTACGGCCTCAGCATACCCAGGCATCAGGGTTCAGTTACTTCCCTGCTAAACTTCTGCTGACTCTGAACCCACGAAGCCCCATCTGCTGTCCCTCCATGGAGAATCCTGGTGGTGCATGGTCATGTATTCAGTGGTGGCAGCAATGAGGGGTATTTTACTTAGGGTATTTTACCCCAAGTTTTCATCACACTTTCATCCTTTTTTTTTTTTTTTTTTTTTTGAGGTGGAGTTTCGCTCTGTCGCCCAGGCTGGAGTGCCGTGGTGCAATCTTGGCTCAATGCAAGCTGCGCCTCCTGGGTTCATGCCATTCTCCTGCCTCAGCCTCCCGAGTAGCTGGGACTACAGGCGCCCGCCACCAGGCCCAGCTAATTTTTTGTAATTTTAGTAGAGACGGGGTTTCACCGTGTTAACCAGGATGGTCTCGATCTCCTGACCTTGTGATCTGCCCTTCTTGGCTTCCCAAAGTGGTGGGATTACAGGTGTGAGCCACCGCACCCGGCCTCTTTCATTCTTTGATATGAGCAACTGATAATGTCTCGAGATTAAGTAAAGAGCTATAGAAATGTGGTTTCTTCCCACTCCAAGTAAGGGGGGCCACCTGAAGGTTGTTTCTGTATGGAATTCTGATAGTATAATGGCAGATGTGCAGAGCCAGAGGGTACTGTGGGTACACACCCTCTTTCCCCCTAAGATTTTGTCTCCTTTGTTCCCGACCCAGGCAGAGCCCAGGACTCAGGGTGCTATGGCTGCCACTCCCCACCTTCGGACACCTTGGCCCTGGTGTTGCTGCTGAGGGTGAAGGTCAGGGCAAGCCTGGGCAGAGGAGCCTGTTGACAGGGCCAGCTCAGCCAGCCTTCTGTCTGCGCTCGCCCAAGAAGGGCCTCACCTCTAGAGGGTAGTCGAGGAAGAGTGGGAGTTGTCCCTGCGGATACCAAGCAGAAGCTACAGCTGTAACATTGCCCAGGGTCACAGAGACCACAGCAGAGCCACATAGGGACCTCACTCAATTGGAATTCGTAATAGTTCAGAGATTTCAGCTGATGTTGCATTAGACATAAAGCATTTTTTGTGGCTTCAAAAGAAAGAGTGGGATGTGGGTCCTATCATAAAGTGAATCTGTAAAGAGAAAGGGAAGAAGGAGAGTGCAGGGTTAGTGTGCTGACTGGGGATGGGACACAGGTGATGGGAAATCTGTAGGAGAAGGCGATGGGGTGGGGTTCTGTCCACGTGGGAACTGGGCAGGGGATGAGAAGGGGAAGCATCCAGTGAATGTGGTGATCTTGTCTGCTAAAGGCATTCTTGTGAGGATTAAATGAGGAAATGCACATATGTGCTTAGAACAGGGCATTGCACATAGGCACACAGTGAGCACTGGCTGCTGTTATTATTCAAGTAATTTTTAGAGGCAAATGTGATTTTAGTACCAAACTAAACAACGACAATGAAAAGATTGGAGTCCAGTTTTGTTTATAGACATAGATGCAAATGCCACAAATAAAATATTTGCAAACAAAGAAAACAACACATTGATAGAGCTAGCTGTAAAACTGGAAATCTGTGAACAAATGAAATATCAAAATAATGTAATTCATTCATGATAAGACATCCAAATAAATTCATTGTTACTTTATAGATGAAAACTCTCAAAGCATTAGAAGTGTTTTTTCTTAATATGATAAACTGTGTATCTAAAAACAAGAGTTGGCCAGGCATGGTGACTCACACCTGTCATCCCAGTACTTTGGGAGGCCGAGGCAGGAGGATTGCTTGAGCCCAGGAGTTCAAAACTAGCCTGGACAACATAGACTCTGGATCTATTAAAAAATAAAAAAATAAGAACGAGTGAACATCATATCTATTGAAGAATACTACTTTCTCTCTAAAAGAATAAGATAGAAATGTTCTCTGTTATCATTCGTTCTTTAACATTTTCCTAGAAATGCTGATGATGGCTATCTGAAAAGGCAAAAGGAGTAAAAACAAGGTTTTGCAAAAGATTTCTCTCATAAGTAAGCTATTGAAACAAAGAAAAGAATTGTTAGAAATAATGTTAGTTTAGCAGAGTTGCAGGATATAATGGCAGGCAGATATCAGTTACTTATACTGAATAACCATTTTAAAAAGCTGTGAAAAAGATGATTTTATTTCCACTAATGATGAAATTGAATATTGGAATTTGAATGTAACTTAAAAATGAAATATTGTCCAAAATTTATAATGGATAAAGTTAAGGAATTCATAAGATAAAAATAGATTCTAATTGAAAAGTTTAAATATATTCAGATTATTATGCTCCCTAAAGAAAGAAATAGATGTTATTATTAATAATACAATTAATAAATATACACTATAGACCAAACATTGTGCTATTTACATATGAGTTTTTAAATTCTACCCCAAACCCTCGAACTCTATAGGTGGGTATTCATTCTTTTTTTTTTTTTTTTTTTTGTGAGACAGAATTTCACTCTTGTACCTCAGGCTGGAGTGCCAATGGTGTGATCTTGGCTCACTGCAACCTCTGCCTCCCAAGTGATTCTCCTGCCTCAGCCTCCCAAGTAGCTGGGATTACAGGCACCCACCACCACACCCAGCTAATTGTTTTGTTTTTGGTAGAGATGGGGTTTCACCACGTTGGCCAGGCTGGTCTCGAACTCCTGAACTCAGGTGATCCACCTTCCTTGGCCTCCCAAAGTGCTGGGATTACAGGTGTGCGCCACTGTACCTGCCCTGGATATTCTTGTCTTACTTACAGAGGCTTATAGAGGTTAAGTAAATGTGTATAAATGTGGAATTTTATGTTTGGGATTACACAGGAGGAAACAAATCAGATGGAAAGAGATCATTGGTTCAAAGATATTGGTTGAAACACCATTTTTAAATGTTTTAAAATGTGAAACAACCAAATTTCCAAAATAATAAGAGAATAGTTTTGCAGACTCTGATATCTCAATGATGTGGAATACTGTACAGAGAGTAAAAATGAAAGATTGTGTCAATTTCTGGATATTTGCCTATGATGTAGATTTTCAAAGCAGAATGCATGATAACCTATGCATACCAATGACATCTGTGTCAGAATGTGCACACACCACCAAACATAAGATGTTAATTTGGAGGCTGACGGAGAGAACAGTTTGAGGTTTAATTTCCCCTGGCTTTTTCCCTGCTTACGTTCTTCACGGTGTGACAATCAGGTCATTGCAGGCTGTCACCAGCTCTGCTTCTGGGCCTGTCTTTGCACCAGCAAACATTTTCTGATATCTCTGCCTAGATTAAACGTTAGAAGGGGCTGGAATTGCTGGCTAATGAAATTGCTGGAGAATCCTCCATTGTAGGGATGAGGGCAGAGGCTGAGAGGGGTTGTCCAGGAATCAAATCCTTTGTGCTGTGGGAAGTCTATTCTCTGCTAAAATGATGGCGTTGGATCCCTGGATGGTTTCTGAGGTCCCTTCAGGGTCAGGTTCTGCTTGTCTTTGAGAGGTGGAGGAGGAGGAGATGTCTTTGGCTAAGACATTTAGGGACTTTGGGGAGGAGTGTTTCTCTTTCCTCTCCTATATGGGCACTGACCTGTCCAGTTGGTCTGGTTTCTGGAAACCCCACCCAAGGCCCCTGCCTTCTCCTGAATGGCTTTTCCTCTCTCAGGAGCTCAGAAAGCTCACAAGCAGCCTGGGGCCAGGGACACAAGCCTGGGTCCCATGGAAAGCAAGATGAGAAAGCAGGTGGGTGGGAGGCAGGGAGAGGGAAGTGGCTGGGGAGAACAGAACCTGATTCCCTGGTGGGTTGGCCAAGGAGTGGTGTCTGGGCCTCACCCTCGGCTTATTTGCGGGCTACTCTTGGAATATAGGGAGCAATCCCCAGTGGACATTGTTAGAAATAAATGTGCAATAATTGCTTGGGGTCCTGCTGGGCCCGTTTCTCCTGGGCTCCAGATACACCATTTCCTTAGGGTTTTTCCACTGGAGAGTGATGGCCTTCAGAAGTTTAATTTGCTACTTTTGTCTCCAGAGGACATCTCTACAATTCTCTGCTTTTCTCTTTAGTTCAGGGAATTCATCTCATTAATTGTATGAGATCAGAACTCCAAAGTTCATGTTGATGTCCCCCTTTTAAATTGAGGACATGATCTCATTCTTTTTTTATGGCTGCATAGTATTCCATGGTATATATGCACATTTTTTTAATGCAGTCTGCCATTGATGGGCATTTAGATTGATTCCATGTCTTTGCTATTCAGTGCTATGATGAACACATATGTGCATGTGTCTTTTTGTTGTTACTGTTCTTTAAATGGTGTACATTTAAATAAGTTATTTTTTTTAACTTTTAAGTGCAGGAGTACATATGCAGGTTTGTTACATAGGTAAACTTATATTGTAGGGGTGTGTTACACAAATTACTTCATCTCCCAGGTATTAAATCTAGTACCCATTAGTTATTTTTCCAGATTCTCTCTCTCCTCCCACCCTCCACCCTCTGAGAGGCCCCAGTATGTATTGTTCCCCTCTCTGTATCCATGTATTCTCATCATTTAGCTCCCACTTATATGTGAGGACATGCAGTATTTGGTTTTCTGTTCCTATGTTACTATGCTAAGAATAATAGCCTCCAGCTCTATCTATGTCCCTGCAAAGGACATGATCTCATCCTTTTCTTTTTTTTTTTTTTATTAAATGGAGTCTCGCTCTGTTGCCAGGCTGGAGTGCAATGGCGTGATCTTGGCTCACTGCAAACTCCGCCTCCTGTGTTCAAGCGATTCTCATGCCTCAGCCTCCCAAGTAGCTGAGATTACAGGCACGTGCCACCACATGCCGCTAATTTTTGTATTTTTAGTAGAGATGGTGTTTCACCATGTTGGCCAGGATAGTTTTGATCTCCTGACCTTGTGATCTGCCCACCTCGGCCTCCCAAAGTGCTGGGATTACAGGCGTGAGCCACCATGCTTGGCTGATCTCATTCTTTTTTTATGGCTGCATAGTATTCCATGGTGTATATGTACCACATTTTCTTTATTCAGTCCATCATTGATGGGTATTTAGGTTAATTTCATATCTTTGCTATTGTGAATAGTACTTCAATGAACATATGTGCATGTGTCTTTATGATTTATATTCCTTTGGATATATACCCAGTAATGGGATTGCTGGGCCAAATGGTATTTCTGTCTTTAGGTCTTTGAGGAATTGCCACACTGTTTTCCCTAATGGTTGAACTAATTCACACTCCCACCAACAGTGTATACGTGTTTTTTTCTTTTTCTCCACAACTTCACCAACACCTGTTATTTTTTGACTTTTTAATAATAGCCATTCTGACTGGTGTTAGATAGTGTCTTACTATGGTTTTGATTTGCATTTCTCTAATAATCAGTGATATTAAGCTTTTTTGTTTGTTT